GGCCACGCCGGATCCGCAGATTTGACAGGCCGAAGCGTCATTTTTCCCAATGCCTGGTTGTAAGCATGCCGGGCCTCTGCCAACTTGCTAAGAATCTCCGCCCCTACGATATGACCCCGCCCCTCTCCGGCAAACCAAGCCTCTGATTGGAGGGAGCGGGGAGAGAGCGTGATGAGGTAGGCGGGGCGGGTTGCTAGATGAGGGGCGGAGCTGAACCAAGAGTGGGTTTGAGGGGAGTGGCCGAGCACTAGATTAGGAGTTACAGGACAGAAAAAAGAGGCGGGCGGAGGAGTTGGCAACTCAGTAGGGTTTGGGGAGACATGGAAGACTAAGAGGTTGGAAAGGGGAAGGGCAGCAAAGAAATTTCCCTGCAGAAAGCCACCCATGGCGGTGGTGGTGCTCAGAACCCGAAACCCAGAGAGGCACTCATTGTCCACAAGCTGACAGATGGCCTGCTATACAGTCCCGAATGCAGTATGCTAAGGGCTCCCTGAAATGAGAAGGGAACCAGAGTGACCTTTATGCAGGACCAAAGAACCCTTGTGATCCGTGGACCCCTGAAGCACTGGTTAGCTCAGACATGAAAGCCTATAAAAAAAAAAAAAAAAAAAAGGCGGCACCAGACGATGTGCTGTGGAGGAAGCTGATAAAGGGTTCCAAACAAGTAGCAGTGCCTGCAGCCCAAAGAGAGGCTGGGGTTAGTGCAACTTTGATCGGACACTTCAACTTCACAGTGCTGGACCATGGCACTGCTCTGGTCATCAGCCAGAACCTACAAGGGGCCTCATCGCCACCAGAGCTGAGGTCCTTGTCTCCAGAATCTCCATCTCCCACAGGTGAGCAATTAAACAGGAAGCTTAGAATAGTATGGATACACCCAGCTCCTTCAGCCTGTCCAGCAAAAGGTGTTGGCTTCAGAGAGATCTGACTGGAGGTGATGCATTTAGTTAGGAACCCATTTAAGCTCTTCAGGCTACCCCTAAGACTCAAGAGCCCTATTCCATGGCCATGAGAAACTCCTCCATCTTCTCAAAATGGCCAAGTACACAGGAGCCAACACTACCCATGGGAGGTATAAGCAGCCAACCCCTGTTAAACTGAGGACAGCAGAGAAAGTCTTTAGAATTCCATGTCCCTCCAGTTACTAATGCCACTGTCCGCTGCATAAAGCCAGTGCCAGCTCCCACATGAGGCAAGTTCTAACAGCTGGTAGTTGCTAGTAGGCAGACATGGAAGGCCCAATGAGCCCTGCCTCTTAGCACTGTCTAAGTATGGGCAGCTGACTTCTGACTTCTAACCAATACAAGGCGAAGTTAATGGGATGTCACACTGTTGTTAGGTTACAAATGTAATTTTAGTCCTGCTCACTACCATCTTCTCAACTTGCATTGATTTTAAAATTAGATTTATTCTTTTTATGTGTGCATGTTTTACCTGTCTGTATCTGTTATACCACATGTTTGATGCCTGAGGTCAGAAAGTACATCAGATCCCCTGGAACTGGAGTTATAGGTGGTTGTGAGCCACCATGTGGGTGCTGGGAATCAAACCTGGGTCCTCTGCAAGAGCAACAAGTGCTCTTAACTGTTGAAGCATCTCTCCAGCCCCGATTACACACATTGAGAAAGAGCAATTGGCAAGACTGACAAAGAACTGCCCATGGTCAACATTCAGGCCTGATATTGGTGGTCTATCAGCCCACAAAGAAGTGGACTCTGCCAACATCACTAAAGCTCTAAGATGATTCTTTTGAAGCCATTCTTTCAGATAAGAGGGAAGTGGTACCAGACTGCCCACTGTGAGAAGCAGGCAGCAGAGGACTTACATAAGCTGGGCCCATAGACCCACAGAAACTGGGAGTCATCATTAGATATTTATATTCTCATAGTTCCACAAACTAAAAATTAAAAATCCAGGTGTTGGCAGAGCAGCTTCCACTTGAGGCTTTACACCATCCTTGCTCTGTGTCTGTCCCCTAATTTTTTTATAAAAATGTAACTGGATTAAGATCTAATAGCCTCGGTTTATCTCAATACCTCTTTAAAGACTCTCTCCAGGACTTAGTGGTGCATGCCTGTAATCCCAGCAATAGACAGGTTGAAGCTGGAGTATTTCAAGTTCAAGGCCAGCCTTGGTTACAAAGTGAGTTCCAAAACAGATTGGCTGCATATCAAGACCCATCAGGAGAGGGGAGAGGCCACCATCTGTTCTCCAAACAGACCCATTCTGATATTCTGAGAAGTTAGTGTTTCAGTATATAAATTATGAGGTGATACAATTCCATCCATAAAAATAAGTAATACAGTTACATTCTAACAATTAATCTGACCTTATTCAGAAATATGACCTGTTTTTTTAATATGGGCAAATTGCCATTTAGTTAAGGTACTACAGTTCCTGTCTCTCCATAGCTAACTAGAACCATGTGACTAAATAAGTCCTGGTCAGTGAGATACAAGCAGAAATAGTGTTACTTCTGGAAGTCTTCTACAAAGGAAAGGGTACATCCACCTTCGTCCAGATGCTTATTTAGCAATAGAGCAGTTATTTTGGGTCAGTGTGAAACTCACATTCTGAGATAAGGGAGCTGGAAGGAGTTGGGTTGATGATGGGTGCTGTCATGCTAGCTGCCTGCCCATTTCTGGATTTATTTTACTGTGTCAGAGCAATAATTTCCATTTTGTCTAAGCCACAATTACTGTGAGTACACTATTAGATGCATCTACACTAAATTTTGACCAATTCTGAGGAATTTGTGTGTCACTGAGACCCCATATGGCAATACAGGTCTAGCCATCCCTGGAAGAAAGTCTTATGCCTAGACTTTCCCTTAAGCCCCACAGGATATCTGATGAGAAAGCCTTGTAAAAAGGGTTATCGAGGCCAGGTACTGATGGTGCATGCCTTTAATACCAGCCGTTGGGAGGTTGAAGCAGGCAGATCTCTGTGAGTTTGAGGTCAGGCTGGTCTACAAAGTGAGGTTTAGGACATCCTGGACTGCATAAAGTAACCCTGTCTCAAAAAAATTAAATGTTACATAAAAAACATATTTTAAGAGTTGCATGTTTCCAGCCGAGTGTTGGTGGCCCACGCCATTAATCCCAACACTCGGGAGGCAGAGGCAGGCGGATCTCTGTGAGTTTGAAGCCAGCCTGGTCTCCAGATGAAGTGCCAGGATAGACTCCAAAGCTACACAGAGAAACCCTGCTCGAAAAAACAAGACAAGAGTAGCATGTTTCCATAATTACACACTGAAAAATAGACCCACCTCTTCAAACAATTATCATTCCTTTTCAAAAAGACAGTTTTTTTTTTTTTTACGTTCACAGAAAAGTTTGGCATACTTCAAAACATATTAATTCAAAATTTAACACAGTGGAGAAACTGGCCCAGTATCTCCAAAGCCTTAAAAATGGGTACAGTGTCCAAACAACAGAAACAGATCCAGTAATTGATCCTAGGACAGCAACCTAGGAAGGGTTGCTCTCCTGTGTGACAAATGATCATTTACTACAGCAACATTAAGAAAAGTATCAAGAGCAAACATCACATAAATAAATCATGATACAGACACCAAGTAAAGAGCCAGATGTGACTAGAGCCTCTTTCTGTCCTGTTGTGTGTTGTTAGCTCACTCCTTTATTCTTTGGGCACCTGGTAAGGTAGTCTCCATTGTTGCAATGAAAATTTTATCAGATCTCTTCCTTTGGCTCTCTGATGAGTTTTCACCTTAAATTTTAACATTGTTTGCCAGTGTAAGAGCTCTAATAATATGTAAGGAAAATTTACTCTTTATTGCTGTGATGAACTATCTGAGAAAACACCTTCAGAGAGAAAGAATCCTCAGAGTTTCAGTACTTTCAGTACATGGCCACTTGGCTCCACTGCTTCTGAGCCTGTGCATGTAACACAGAAAATACATTCATGAATGTGACAGGACAGGTGGACTTACCTCCTGGTGGAAAGAGGGACCTGAGATAAGGTATGTCCTCCAAAGATGTACCCTCAGTGACCTTTTTTCTCCAACTACAACAATGTTCTCCTAGCTCATTCAGCTATGAACACATCAATGGATTAATCTATTAATTAAGGTAGTACCCTTATGATCCAAATAACCTTCAGTTACACCACCATCTGGGAGCACAGCTTCATCAAATGAGCCTTTAGAAGGAATATCTAAATAACAACATTCTGCCTCTGGGCCCCAAAGTCTTATGTCCATCTCATAATAGAAAATAGATTTAGTTCATCTCTAGGAGTCCCTAAAGTCTTAACAGTTTGGACACTGCTCAAAAGTCCAAGGTTAAAGTATCTTCTGAGATTCAAGGCAAATTCTTAGCTGTGAGCCACTGTAAACCAAAAAGAAAGTTACATACTTCCAATATGCAGTGGTAGGCCAGGGTTAATGTATTAGGGTTCTAGAAGAACAACTGATATAATAAACATATATTACGCAGGGGTTTATTAAGTTGGCTTACCCAAGACAGTCTGAAAGTCCAATAACACCCTTCTGCGTGATGAAGAGGCTAAGAACCTAGAAGCTTTTCAGTCTACTAACTTAGATCCCTCAGCAGTATCAATCTGGAGCTGATTCCTAGAGAGCTGCCAACCTTCAGTTCATGTTGGAAAGAAAAGAAAAACTGAGTGCTGATGTCAGTGAAGGATGGCAGTAATGGCACCAACAGAGTAGATGCAGTCGTTGGCTAAGAAGCAAAGGCAGGCAAACAAACAATTTTTTCCTCAAACCTTCTTAAATATGGGCTGCAATCAGGAAGTGATGTCTACTTTGGTATCTTCCCTCTCAGTGAATCCAGGATGTATCCTCACAGATTCACCCATAGATGCCTCTTAGGTGATTTCAGATTCAGTGAAGTTGACAACCAAGATTAACCAGCCAGGACATATTGTTA